GGGGGGGGGGGGCATTTGAGGGTAAGCAGGCTGGCAGGCAGAGTGGTTAGAGGCAATCAGGCAGGCAGGTAGGCAGGTGAGTGGTTAGGAGCCAGAAGTCCCGGATTACGAGAGGGATATCCGACTGCTGGTTTAGGCCCGATCCCTGTAAACTGGCAGTAGGACATCCTTCTAGGGGTCCCAGATTGGAGAGGGTGCAGGCCGGGGTAAGGAACATCCCCTCCCCCGTGTACGAATTTCGTGCACCGGGCCACTAGTATATATTTAAAAGACTAATATGCTAAGTTTCCCTCTGACTGTCCGACCGGTAGCTATGATGTGCACCAGGGGGCAGATGCTCAATGCAAGAGCTGCCATGATCCACACAGGCCATGTACAAAGAAATGGCACCGTGGACCTGGCGCCAATAAAGTAACACTCGGCTTTCCCCAACACAGGCCCCGTCACCAACCTGGAGCGACAGCCCACCAAATTGCAGCCAATGCTATCGAGACCCTTTGGCGCAAAATGCGACCCACAGCCTGGCCCAGCCCGGAAACAGTGGCTGTGGGTGCCGGGTAATGACGTCACGTAGCAACGCCTGGCTTCCTCTCCCTAGCTACCCTTTGCAGTTTCTTCAGCCCAAGAACACAACTTGTTTTATAGCAAGGTGCAAACATTTTCACTTTAACCAAATGTCTGTGAGGTGTTTTCCCATGCCTCATCTCATTTTATCCTCACAGAAGTCCTGGAGTAGGTAGATGGCAGACTTGGTAGAATCCTATTTTCTTTTCATTAGCTGGAAAAGAGAGATTTAGAAAGTTTAGAAACTTGACCCAACTGAAAAGAAGTAAGAAATGGTGGAACTTGAAAATGACTTCAGGTTTTCTCACTGCACAGAATATAGTCAAACACTGTTGCAGTTAATTATTTTACCCTTTGTTCTCCCTGCGTGATCTACAGTAATAATCTGTTTCATGTTGCTATTTATGGCTGTATTGCTGACAATTACCTGAAAGAGAAGTTGGGGTGCTTCACTGGGCTGGAAAAAGTTTAGCTAAATCAAAAAGTAGGTCTAATTAAGCAAGTTTATTCTATATCTATAAAAGGCTAAGTTGAATCGTGCATGTGTGATACATATAACGCTCTTGCTGGCACCAATTGCACACGTGTGTTTCGATACATCATTGTTGATCGTGAATTTGATTGACACCTATTATAGAAAAAGGGCGAGTGGCGATATTACAATGTTTCTTCTAATTAATTTCCTTTCAATGTGCACGAATCTGTGCACTGGACCACTAGTAATTATATAATCTCAAATAATGACTGTGTTGTTCCTTTTTATCTTTACACTTCACTTCTTTTTCTTATTTTGTTGACTAGAATCTCCATTACAACGTTAAATAGAAGTGATGATAGTATGCTTGTGTGGAGGTCTTGATCACAAGTAAAAAGCTTTTAGAGGATTATCAATAAGGATCTTATGTTGTAGGTGGCTTGTATCCTACCTTTCTCAGATAAAATAAAATTTCATTTAATTCTTAGTTTGTTAAGCATGTTTTTTTTCTTTTTGTTTCAGAATCATGCATCGACATCAAATTTCATCGAACATTTTTTCTTTATTCATTGAGATAATTACATGATTTTCCTTTTTTAAACTGTTTATGTGGTAAATTAAACCTTGTATTCTTTGGGATTAACCCATTTTATTTATATATATGTGTGTAACTATGTATGTATATGTATGTGTGTATGTGTGTGTGTGTGTGTGTATATAGGCCTGGTGCACAAAATTTGTGCACGGGGGAGGGGCGTTGTCCCTCGGCCCAGCCTGCACCCTCTCCAATCTGGGAACCCTCGGGGGATCGAGGGTGGCAGTCAGACATCCTTCTCACAGATAATCTGGGACTGTTGGCTCCCAACCACTCTCCTGTCTGCCTGCCTGATTGCCCCTAACCGCTTCTGCCTGCCAGCCTGATCAACGCCTAACTGCTCCCCTGTCAGCCTGATTGACGCTTAACTGCTGGCCCGATCGCCCCCAACTTCCCTCTCCTACAGGCCTGGTTTCCCCCAACTGCTCTCCCTTGCTCGCCTGGTCTCCCCTAACTGCCTCTCCCTGCAGGCCTGGCCTCATCAACTGCCCTTCCCCTGCATCCCTGGTCACCCCCAACTTTCCTCCCCTGCCGGCCTGGTCCCCTCTAATTGCCCTCCCCTGCTGGCCTGGTCCCCCCCAACTGCCCTCTCCTGCAGGCCTGGTCACTCTTAACTGCCCTCCCCTGCCAGCCCGGTCACCCCTCACTACCCCCCCTCACCCCGCTGGCCTGGTTGCCCCTAACTGCCCTCCCCTGCAGGCCTGGTTCCCCCCAACTGCCCTCCCCTGCAGGCCTGGTCCCCCCCAACTACCCTCCCCTGCAGGCCTGGTCAACCCAACTGCCCTCCCCTGTTGGCCTGGTTGTTCCCCCAACTGCCCTCCCTTCCTGGCCATCTTGTGTGGTGGACTCATGGTCAATTTGGATATTACTCTTTTATTAGATAGCATATTGCTATAAACATTTTTATGCCTGTCTTGTGGTGGATAATTGTATGTATTTCTGTTGAGTTAATACCAAGGAATGGGTCCTGGAGCTTACCTTTTTAATTTTTATTTTAAAACTTCTATTTAGCTTAAGTACTCTCCTTAGTCACTGCATGGTGTATATTTATTTCCTTTTACTTTCAACATCTTGTACTTATATTTTTATTGTTTTTTTTGTAAGCTTTCTATATTTAAATTTTAAAATCTCTGTGCTAAGCAATGTTCTACGTGCTATGTATGTTAATGTAAACTTGACCTCTGCAATCAAATTCTTTCCCCACACTGAGGATGACATTTTTGCTGTATTTTGGCTTATATTTTTGCAGTTGAGAAGGAACCTATTAGTTTAAATTAAATACTTTTCATGTCAAGGTAATGTGTCTGCTTTAAGATTTTGTTTGTTTTATTATTACTAATACTTTGAATTCAGTTGTTTTGCTTCTTTAATTTGTGGATTGGTGTTTTATGATATTTTCAGATAGGGGATTGGGCCTCATTTCTTCTTATACTTCCATGAATCGTAAGTTAAATCTTTCTATCCTTTCTCTTTTTATTTTTATATTAACCTTTTCTATATTTTTCGATAATTTCTTCTGACCTCTCTTCCAGTCACTAATTTTAATAGCTTCTTATAATCTAGAGGCCCGGTGCACAAAAATTTGTGCACTCGGGGAGGGGGGCGAGGAGGCGGGATCCCTCAGCCCGGCCTGTGCCCACTAGCAGTCTGGGACCCCTCGGGAGATAATGACCTGCTGGCTTAGGCCTGCTCCCGGGTGGCAGAGGGCAGGCCCAATCCCTAGGTGCAGCCCCTGGTTGGGCTCAGAGCAGGGCCAATTGGGGAGTTGGGGCGCCGCCCCCTGTCATGCACAGAGCAGGGCGATCGGGAGGTTGCGATGCCCCCCTCAGTCACGCTCAGGGTAGGGCCGATTGGGGGGTTGGAGCACCGCCCCCTGTCACACTCAAGGCAGGGTCGATGGGGAGGTTGCGGCGCCACCCCGTCATGCACAGAGCAGGGCCAATCCAGGGGTTGCGGTGCTGCCCCATCATGCACAGAACAGGGCCAACCCGGGGGTTGCGGTGCTGCCCCCTGTCACGCACACAGCAGGGCCCATCAGGCGGTTGGGGAGCTCCCTCCTGTCATTCACAGAGCAGGGCGGATCAGTGGGTTGGGGCGCCACCCTCTATCACCAACAGAGCAGGGTCAATCAGGGGGTTGGGGGGCCACCACTGTCACACTCAGGGCAGGGCTGATGGGGAGGTTATGGCTCTACCCCGTCGC